TACAGTGCTGCATCTCAGGAAAACAGGAGTGAAGGGATCTTCTGCATTATCAGGACTTGGGTCCTCGTACAGCAGCAATCCTGCTCTTTGCACTAAGTAGAGAGGGGAACGCTGCCTGCACATCCATAGCTAACAGTTCAATCATTAAAGACTGCAGACACTCAAGTTGTTTAAACTTAACAATAACAATATCCTCACAAAAGTCAGATTTCTGCAATATCTGTGTAGGGAGATGGTACTTGGAAGATGGCAAATTTTCAAACTCAAGAAAAAAAACGAATGTTAGAGATGGATCTTGAGGTCAGATACACCACAGTCTTGGAGGAACTTACATTCACAAAGCTTGGGCAGAATGAAAGCGTACACAGCACAAAGATGTTGAAAAGGGTAATCGAAAGCCTGAGAGAGTTTTTACCAGTCGCAAGCAGAAAAAGGGAATCTAGACTGCATGAAGAACCTCGATTTAAGCCAAAAACTCCTCAAGCAGTAAGAAACGTGGGGCAAGGAACACATACAAGTATCTTGGCATTTTGCCCATGCAAGATTTACCCTTTTTCAGCAACTAAACCTTCGTGGCTTTGTTTAAACTCATCCTCTGGCCCTCTCTGTGGTCAGCAGAGAGGGAGTGAGGCCAAATGCTCATCACTCTCTGGGCACCCTGGACTGGACATCAACCTACAGAACTCCCGAAACCGGGTAAGATGAATTAAACTCTCAATTCAAGTATTTCTTGGGCTAACTGTAGAAAGAAGAGATGATTCTGGAACGCCTTGAAAAATTCTCATGCCTATTTGCTCACATTATCATGCGTGCCTCAAAGAGAAGCTGTAGGCTAGAGTAACAGAGCTCCAGGAAAAGAAAAGACTTACTTTACTGCGGCATTGGGGTTGCCAGCGCTGTTCTGTAGGGGCTAAGGCAGCAAGGACCAGGAGAACTCATTCCTGTAGGCATGGGTTCATCCATGCCCTTGAAGATGTGATAAGGAAGCCCAAGGACAGTGTGTCAGACACTACTCAGGCAAAGACCCTGAAGAGACTCTGCGCAAGCCCTAATCACAGCAGCCTGAGAGCTGCCAGTGAAGTGCCTGTACCAAGGTCACGACTCAAGGACAACTGTGTGAGCCCTCCATCCTGCACGTGTTCCCCAGAAGCTGCAAGGTAAAGGCACACTGTGCAAAGACTCCACGCACTTACGAAAGAAATACCGTATGACAGTGAGTTCTCACACATGAATGTTTTACATTTGAGCAGAGCAACACCACCAAACCATACGCACTTCCAGGGTGCGGTACCCAAAATCAGTGCAGAGCCTGCTGCAAATCTCTCGGGAGAACACAAGATTACAGAGACAAAAGATGGCAGCATCACGGATCCCCTCAATAATGCCACTGCTGGGCAACTATGCTATTATTTTTAAGGAGTTGTTTAAAAGACCTAGCACACAACCAACTGCATGGAGCTTAATTAATTCTCCTGGGACAGGAGACTCCCCTGAGTTGCTCTGCAGAGATTTTAATTTAAGGATCTAGAGAGCTTGCATCTTCTGCTTAGACCACATTACTCACAACAGCAAACAAATTATACTCCCTGGTCAGTAAGACAGTCAAATGCACACACTTACTTCAGCCACGCTTGATGAAAATAAAATACATCAGCTGCCACTTGGACTTGCAGCAGATTTCAGGAGATGATTTTTCTCTCAACAAAAACTAGAGTTTTCTGCCCCAGGCGAAATCTGAACAGGACAGAGCTCAGGAGGTGCAGAGAAACCATCCCAGATCATCTCCCTTTGCAACACACAAGCAGAATCCCACATAAAATCGCTGGGGACCTGATCACTGCAGCACAACTTGTTACCCATGTGGGCAACAAGTCCCCAGCCCTCTTGGGAAGGACAGAATATTCCAGCTCTGTAACCTTATTTACTGTCCTGCAGAGTCCTCTCCGTAGAGAAGGCGGATAGGCACAAAAGGGATTCACGGCGGAGGGCCCAGGACAGAGTAGAGGAGCTATGCATGATGTGCCCCAAGACACCTGGAGGAAAGCCTTCAGCAGGGTGGATCATCACTGCTTAGAAATTCTGAGGATGAGGAAGATGTGCAAGGCACAGACCGAGACACGCCAGGAGCTGCAGCATGCAGACGCACTGGTAGGGCTTGCTCCCCATCAGCACCAGCTTCACACAAACGAGCAACGCAGGGAGCTTCTCACCAAGTTTCTACCCTCCACAAAGGCTTTTTTTGGTTAGGCATTTCTAAAGCAGGGAATAAACAGGGGGACACACATATAAGAGCATATGCCCTGTGGCGTGGTCTACATGACCGGATACCCCTTAACGACTTTATGTTCCCCCAGTCAAGCCCACTCAGCTAACTTTTCTGAGCAAAGCACCACAATTCACGCTACCAACAGACACCGCTGAGCTCCCACACAAAAACTAGCAAGAGTACATCGGTATTTACAGCAGGTATATAGCAAACAAGAACCCCAGTCCCTCTGGGACTCTCCAGAGTTGATACTCCTTGACTAGCAGCTGCCCATCTTAATGTGGGCTAAGAGGCCGTGGCTTCCAATATGCCTTAGCTGCTGTCAAACACCCACACTGACATTTAAATTCTTCTTATCCATTACAGAACGTGTTATTTCTTTCTAATACTTTCTAATCCTACTGAAGAGAAATTCTGCTTCCCAGAGCTCCTTGAAAGCTTTTGTGCTGCAATGTGTGTCATTTCTATATATCCACTGACTGGACTGACACAGGCTGGAGAATCTCACCTCCTTATCTTTGAACGCCGTTGAAAGCGCTCGTGCTTTCATTCATCGTTAGGAACACAGCGCGCCGTGACGTGGGGAAAAGTTCCCGGTTCTGCCAAGACAACTTTCTGCAGACATGCTCTAGCCTTTGAAGGATGGGTTTCTTTGCAAGACAGCCAACACTACATATACCTCTGGATCGGTTCTCCTCGAGCCACAAGACTATCTCCCTTCCAGCCCACTAGGGATGTCATACTGCTGCGTTACAGTCTCAGGTGACCGAGAGCTCTGTCAAAGCAGCACTGACTTGAGTCCCGCACAGGACTCCTGGTTATTCTCAACGCCTCCTTGGTGCTAGACAAAATGACGTACGTAATGCAGCTGAGAAGTTTATTTCTTCCCATTTTTCCAGCAGTGAAGAGTTAATCTGGATGCAGCAGAGACGCTAACAGATCTACCCTTTACACAGCCGTGCTGTAGAATCGGCTAAGAAGCTGCACCAGTGCCCCCAAATTGTCACCGGATGGTTGCTGTGACACTTGCACTGCAGAGCAGAAGGGTCACTGCAATCCTTCTGGGCAACAGTCAAAAAAGCAAAGCTTGTCTGCAATAGCTTTTTAAACCTAAAGCGCAAGCGAGCAAAAAAATATGTTTTCTAAGCTCTCCTGTGTTTGATTCTAACAGCACTGGGAAGAGGCAATAAATGAAACTCTGTCCCGTGATACAAATAATATAAGAACATAACTGCCACCCTATAAAACCCAAATCTGTCATCTGGTCAGTATACTGGCTATGGACATTGGAAGGTGCAGATCCGGCGGGTCGGGATTTTCACGCAATAGGCTCTCCATACATAGGAACGAGACCCCTTCAGGAAAGCCGCTGACTTTGTCCTCGGATGCGCAGATGGGATTTCAGCCAATTACAAACCGAACGCGCTTCCAGGTCCCCACGATCAAAAAGCGCCAGCCTTTGGCAAACCCACATCCGAGCGGCTCCTCGCAAACGCTGCGTGCTCCGCCGGCCTGGGCTCTAGCGCTGGGTACCGCGGAGCAAAACCCCGGGGCGACGCCGGCCGAGCCGGGA